TGTTAGAATCTATTGTGCACATAATCTGTGATATTTGAATCTAAAAGTTCCCTTTGAAACCTAGCGGTCTATAGGGCAAGTGAAGTAGAGTTCACTTGTTTTGTGACCTCGGCATATGAAGAGATAGTGTGGTCAGCACTATGCCTAGCCGCCTTTATTTGAATCTATAGTCCACAAAATCTGTGATATTTGAACCAACTGTCCGCAGAATCTGTGATATTTGAATTTGAATCTATTGCCTGTGATACTTGAATCTATTGTAGCAAGATCATGTAGCCTACATATTACATATTACCTAATATGTGATATCTGAATCTAATCAATCTATAGGAGCAACATCATGTTGCCTACGAAGTATGTGATACTTGAATCTATTGTCCCATCAAGCTCTCTAATACTTGAATCTATTGTAGCATAAGATCTTAATCTCGCCTACAAAGAGCTCACGAAGAAAAAAAAAACGCAACGAATTTTGACACCTCTGGGAGTTCTAGTTTTTATTTCACCGAAATCATTGAATGGCATTTCCTGGCAACTTTTTTTCTTTTGTTTCGTTTTAAATCTCTAATTTAATTTAATCAGATTTTCATAATCACGTGAGCTGTGGCTTTTGTTCTAGGCAGCCACCGCCCTCTAGGGACTCTGTGTTTTCTGGATCAACGGCTCCTCAAGGTTGGTTTCTCATTTCATATCAGCGAGAGTCCTGGGCGTCGAGAAATTAATTATTTTCAACATCAATTGATTGATATAAATTATACAGCTTTATACTCATTGTAATGTTTGGGGTAGATATATATATATATATATATATATATATACATATATATATATATATACATATATATATATATATGTATATATATATATATATATATATATATATATATATATATATATATATATATATATATATATATATATATATATATATATACTTAGCTATAGCTGGGTTTTTTTTATAGTGCCAACCAACTCGTATTGGTAAGAGGGTCATCCATAATTGACGTCACCCCCTTGTTTGACTACTTTTACCAACCCCTCCCCTCCGTCACACATCGGCCCAAAAAAAAAGCCAGACTCCACTAAAATGACGTCACACTTACAACCTCCCCCCCCCCCCCTCTCCTTTCCCTCATGAAATTGCAATTTTTTAAGCCATTGATTTCTCTCTAAAATATTGACTGAGCTTTGTCAACACAGAGTATATTAATCAATACAATATTATATATTTTTTATTTATAAAAAGGAAAAGAATGTTTAAAACTAAATTTATAACAATTATTTTTTCCAAAATTCAAAAGTGTGACACCACTTTATCTCAACCCCCCCCCCCCCCCCTCCCCCTCATCTCACATTGTCAGAAAATTACGAAAAGAACAGCTCAATGTGCCCTATAAACTTTCTGGTCTGAAAGGGTACCTTACTTATATTACTGGTCTAGATGTGCCGAACCTTAGTTGGGTTTTTTTTTTCAGTCATCTTTCTAAAGCACGTCTGCCCCCCCCCCCCCCCCTTCTGTCTAAATTTTTTGCAAAAATCATTTAAAAAAGAAAAAAAATATACTTTAACCAGTGCCCTTCTGGCCCCACGAAGTATCAACTTACCCTCGACCGGAGAAATTCTGAAAGAAACCTCGATCGACAAAGTCAGCGAGAGTGACCCTCCACCCCACCCCACCCCATTCTTGCTTAACCTGACACCGCTACTTGATTCGATTAAAAGAGTTCTCTGTTTGTTATTGTTGGTTTTTTTTTAAATAAAATTAATGAAAATGCATTTCCGCTACAAGATCCAGCAACAAGGCATCTCTTCGGGGGCATCTATACCGCCCCCTACCCCCCTCCCCCACCGTACGATATGGAATTTATATAGAAAACAAATACTTTTACCAGTGTCCGCCCCTTACCCCCCCCCCCCCCCGGAGAAAAAAGCCTGAAAAACACTGAGGAGGACCCCCCCCCCCCACCATCTACATAAACGTCGGTCTATAAACAACTCACGAATGGCCGTAGGTGTATTTTCACCTCACGAACTCGAACCCGCTCACCTCCACCACCCCTGTCATTATTTTGTCACAAATTGTGACACGATAAGATCGAGATTTTGATCATGGGGGTCGCTCATAAATGAAGTCACGCCGATGTTACACCTATCCACCCCCCACCCCCCCCCCCCCCCCCGTTGTTTAACAAGTCAGACTCACAGCACCCGAAATGACGTCACAGCCTCTTCCCCACCCCACCCACCCACCTCTTTGTGCGAAAAAAGATGATGACATCTGAATGATGGATTTACACCAATATAGGTACTTGTTGCCAGTGTTTCTTCCAGACTTTTTTCTCCGGGGGGACTTGAAATTTTCGGGGGGGGGGGGGGGGGGGGGGGGGGGGGGCGGTAAACTTTCTTCGGGGGGGCGGACACTGTTGAAAGTATATATTTTCTATATAAATCATATAAATTTCATTTCGTTCGGGGGGGGGGGGGCGGTAAAAGATGAGATGCCTGGAAGAAACTCTGTTTGTTGCGCGACGTATATTTTTATTTGTATTAACAGTTCGACTCAAGATGTTAAAATGCATTTGCATTTCTTTTTATAGTAATGGTCTCACAATTTTTAAGACTATTATACTCAAATGAAATATTTTACTAATAATTACTTGTTGAATATTTCTAGCTTTACTAAAAAAAAAAAAAGCTTTCTTCTGGCAACTACAATTTTGAACCACTTTTCAAGCCTACTCTCGTTCCAATTTTCTTTTCCTTCATCATGGCGGAGGACGCTGCGATGTAAACTTTAAAATGACTACCGGGTCAGAGGTCACGACGCTAAGCCTAAACAAAATTAAATCCCTGACAAGAGTTTGCTGGAGGAAGCGGTGTATCTTTCAACAGAGCCTTCAGCTTTAAGACTATGATTACGGTTAGGTGGTTTACGAAACCAAACCACTTCGCCCCCCCCCCCCACACCTCTTCCTTTGCAGCACTCTTGTCTTGTAGTGTGGGTTGCGGAGTATTGATCTTGACTCAAGAGCCACAAGGCTAATACGATTTTACTTTGATGGAGACACATAGACTGAGAATCCGCCCCCCCCCCCCCCCCACTTTGTGGTTTGCGAAATAAATAGTGACTGACATCAAAGTCAATATCAGCATTGCTTTCTAAATAAAACTAAAAAAAAAATTTGGTTTCAAAGCCAAAGGTCAGTTTATCTAATCTAGTGGTCAATTTATCCAAATCAGAGGTCAGTTTATCTAAACTGGAGGTCAGTCTATGGTGTCATCCATAAATGACGTCACGCTTTTTTGACGATTTTTACCTCCCCCCCCCCCCCCTCCGTCACACATCGTCACAAAAAGCCAGACCCCCCCCCCCTAAAATGACGTCACACCTCAGCCTACAACCCCCCCCCCCCTCAAAATTGAATTTTCCTTAAAGCATCGATATTTTTCCAAATTCTAGTCTGAACTCTGTTAAAATAGAGTATTGTAATTTTAATTAATTCCTATTGCAATTTATTAAAACAGTTTTCTAAAACTCAAAATAGCGTCTAAAAATTCGTTTTCCAATATCGCTTTTTTAAAATGCAAAAGTGTGACGTCGCACCATCTGACCCCCCCCCCCTCCTCCTCACACGCCGTCACAAAATTACGGACCCCCCCCCCTACGAATGTGACGTCATTTATGGACCACCCCTACCTCAGCCGGAGGTCAGTTGATCTTAACTGTTAAGTCAACCCATCTCAACTGTTGATAAGTCTATCTCAACCTGTGGCCAGTGCTTCTACACACCATTCAAGGACCAAGTCGAGACACCAATGTCCTGTTATGTTCCTCTTTATTCAATAGATATTTAAAAATCTAACTGAAAACATGAGGGGAGAAAACACTGCCTAGTTGAAGTATCCTGTAGTGGATCAACTAAGGTCAAGGACTAAACCTGGGTTTCTAGAGGATTAAATCAGATGATTCCCGTACCATACACCCCACTCACCCAGCAAAGGAACCACTCAGTGGGACCCAGTTAGTGGGAAGTGGGACCGAGTAAGTGGGACCCACACTTTTAGTGGGACCCACACTTTCAGTGGGACCCAGTTAAAGGGACCCACACTTTAAGTGGGACCTACACTGTCAGTGGGACCCAGTTAAAGGGACCCACACCTTCAGTGGGACCCACACTTTCAGTGGGACCCAGTTAAAGGGACCCACACTTTCAGTGGGACCTACAATGTTATTGGACCTACACTGTCAGTGGGACCCAGTTAAAGGGACCTACACTTTCAGTGGGACCCACATTCAGTGGGACCTACACTGTCAGTGGGACCCAGTTAAAGGGACCCACACTTTCAGTGAAAAACATAAGTAGCTAAAAAACATAAGTAGCTAACCCAGAGTACTCAACACAATGACCACTGATTGACCAACTTAAGCTGCTAGTGAGTGTGGCTCTAGCCAAGACATCCATTCAGGTTGAAAACTTCTCAATACAAAGTTACCACTGAAGAATACTACTAAGTTTGACAACTTTTCAATATAAGTTTATCACTCAAGAATACTACCAAGTCTATCTATCTACGGTCACATCACAAACACCTTCAACTGCACACTGGTAAACAAAATCTTTATCAACCAGGCACAGCTTTATACTCAACTAACAACCAAAGGGCTGAACTTATGTAGCATCAACTTTTCAACAATTAAAAAATCAGGGGACTTAAGGCATCAAAAATAAAGGGACTAAACTCCATCTGGAGAATCAACTTTTCAAAAAACCAATTTTTTAAACACTAATTCTTTGGTTTAATTAAGCAACAAGCCAGGGAACTGCAGTTAACAACCAAGGGACTGAACTCCATGTGTATAATAAATTTTTCAACAATTTTACCAATAAGTTTAAATCAGGGGAATGAAGTCATCAACAATCAGGGGACTTAACTCCATCATTACTCACCAAAAATATAATATTTGTGCAATCATCAATGATTTAATCAAAGCATCTACTAGTTCAAAGTTTGTATAAAATTTTACTAGATATGGTAAGCACAGAATAAACAGATGTACAACAACAAGATAAAACCTCTAGTATAAATTCTATTCTTTCTGACATGTTCAATGGTTCATGGGTTTAAGATTTCATATATTTGTTATTTGGTTTTCAAAGTCTACAAAATGTAGAAACGGTTTGTAAAACTGAGCCAAAAAAAAAACCAACATAAAAGGTGTAAAATTAAAAAATAATGTACAGCATCCAAAGCAAAAAAAAAAAAAAAAAAAATTAGAACATAGTTAAAATTTGACTGTTTCTTCCTGTGAAATTTTTTTAGACAATATGTAAACGAGATTCACACACATTGACATACAGTGGGTAGATAACTAAAATAATTAAGTGCAGGAATATGTAAAACTAGTAATTGATACAGTTAGTTCTCTACTAGTCTGATTACATGGATCTAAATCCACAGGACTTCAATAGGAAAGATGGGAAAAATACTTTATTAAATATATTTTAATAAAGGATAATATAAACTTTAAAGTTGAAAAACATAAAATAAAACATTGATTTAAGTTCTTAAATCTACTATGTACAGGTTTTTAAAAAACCAAGGGAGACAAAAAAATATAGACATGGTTTAAAGAGTAAAATGTTTTTATTGTAACTTTTTCAGACAGCAGAGATGTTAGGTGAACACATTTGTAACTTTATTTTTTACGACTGCGGTTTGCTGTTATGTTTCAAGTTACAGACATTCAAGTCTGTAGAATTTTTTTATTTTTTTTTCATTATCTTGTGATGGGACCTGAGAAAAACTAAAAATAGTCACAAAGTTTTGTATATCAGTTAAAGTGACTCTAAAACATTCACATCTGGGAAAGTCACGAAGGTATTCCGGAAAACTTTAAGCTTTAAGACATGAAGCATTAAATGCATGGACATCAAAACAAAGCTAAACTTCAAGTAATTTGCTCTAAACCTTCCATAAGTAAGTATTCACTCAATATACGGACAAAAACTTTTTTGGCAGAAAAACCAAAAACAATTCTGGGGAATTGAGGTTTGTCATATAGAATAAATTTGTAAAAAAGAAATAATGATCATTTACTTTAAATAATATGGCATCACATACTTTGATTGTTTTAAAAGACAAATCACAAAGTGTATATCACATCATAGACAATCCTAAGCCCTCTAGTCCAGCCAAGCTCCATTAAGAAAATAATTTAGCTAGAAAGAAACTGCTACATAATTCATTAGTGTAGAAAACTAAACAACTAAGATGATTTAATCCTCCTTAGCAGAGCCTTTGTCAGCCGGGTTGGGCAGCTTGATGTTTGAAGGTTCAACGCCCCAGATATCCTTGGCGTATTCATTGATGGTTCGGTCACTGGAGAATTTACCAGCAGAGGCAACGTTCAAGCTTGCCTTCACAGCCCATTTCATGGGGTCCTGCAAGGGGACAACAGTGTTATAAGGTCAGGCTGAGGCTGGAATATTTCTTTAACAACAAACAGATAGGGTGGGGAAAATTTTAGTTTCACATATCGGGATAAATGTTATTTAACAATTTAGTTTCTCACGTTTTTAATACAAGCTAGCAAATTATTTGTTCTATGCTGACTGCATCCCCATAAAAACCTTACTTAACCTAAACTCACAAATCCTACACTAAACTCCAATAAGACATCCCCACTATACCTACACCAACTAACTCTACACCCATATCAAGACATAACACTTCATCTGCACCCACTATTCCTACCTACACCCACTAATCCTACCTACACCCACTAATCCTAATACCTACGCCCACTAATCCTAATACCTACGCCCACTAATCCTAATACCTACGCCCACTAATCCTACCTACACCCACTAATCCTACCTACACCCACTAATCCTACCCTACACCTACTAATCCTAATACCTACACCCACTAATCCTAATACCTACAACCACTAATCCCAATACCTACACTCACTAATCCTACCCTACACCCACTAATCCCAATACCTACACCCACTAATCCTACCCAACACCCCCTAATCCTACCCTACACCAACAAAGCCTCCACCCACAACAAAACTTACCCTGAATAGTTCAGAGACTTCCTGTTGACAATCAACATAGGCCCTAAAGTCTGCACACAATGCAAATCTGCAACACACAACATCTCAATCAGTTTACCAACACAAAAGAAATCAAACCAGATCCACATTCTAGTTATCAGAGATTATTTTCATTATCATGTGTGCTTAATTTTTTGTTTATTTTAACTTGAAAATAGCTCATATTAAATTTTAGACAATTTTAGGAATATACAAAAGTTTAAAATTAACCATAACCAAAACTTTAAATGGGCCACAGTTAAATCACAATTTTATAAACTCAATTTTAATTTCAAATCATGCATTCAGCTTTCTAAAACAAGTATCCTCTCCTAAATATAGATGGGTACCTTAACAGATTTAAAAAAAAAATTAGATCTCAAGGAGTAGAGGACAAACCTGTCATTGTTCAGCAAGCCATTGAAGAGTTCACAGAAGAGACCAGGTTCCTCTGGAGAGAAGTAGCCACTGTTTAATTGGTCCAGAGCTTGTTTCAGCTCAGCATCCTTCTCGTAATAGGATCTTGGGTTGTATCTACAAAGGCAAAAAAAAATTATCATTGACTTTCCCCTAACTTGTGAGCCACAAAATAGTAACCACACAATTATATTTGACTAAACACTTAAATACATGCCACAAAATATTAACCACCCAATCCTAAAACCAATGGCATCAAGTGGCATCAAACTAGCTGGCCTCAAGAAGTGAACTTTAAAATAGTTTAAGAATTTCTAAATAAAAACTCGGTTTTTTTTTGTATCACTGCATTTGATGTTATAAATAATGCAACTATGCAGTTTTTGAAAAATGCCAAACTATTTTTTTATATACCCATAGAAATGAATGTTTACGCACATTAAAGTATTAATTTTTAATAAAGGACTTTTTTATGTCCCTGATAAGTGTGATGTGTAACTTGAGATAAAGTTTACAACTGATTCTATACTAACTCAGCAATAAAAGATATCTTAACTTAAAGATTATACTTATCTATCTATTCTTCACTGATTCAGTAATAAAACTCAACAGGCATAAAGATTTTTAACCCTTTATATCGCATTAACTTAGTTAAAACATTCACCATTACATAATGATTTTATCTCTCTAGCCCACAATTGTTCAATAACAAATCACACCAATTGAGATAAAGATTATATTCAACCCATTATATTACATTATAAAATTCCCCATGACATAATGATTATATTTATCTCTCTAGTCCACACTTGTTCAATAACAAATCCCACCAGTAGATGTTGAAGATATTTACCCCTTTCTCCATAGCTCCTCCACCTGTTCCACAGTCATACCAAAGATGAAGATATTTTCTCTGCCCATTTCTTCCATCATTTCCACATTGGCACCATCAAGTGTTCCAATGGTGAGAGCACCGTTCAACTGCAGACAAGTTCACAACATTTACAATTAGTGCATCATTAGGATAACATGACAAGTATAATTGGATAGACAGATTAGGTTTGGCTGAAGTCTGGGAAACAATTTTCAAGTGACACATGAACATCTACAGTAGAGAACTTGCAAGAGGAGAATTGAAAAGTAAGATAAATTAAGTTACCCATACCTAATGCCGCTTACTATTTAAGATAATCAAATATTATACAGTGCCATTGTGATAATAAAGTAGGTACCCACCATGAACTTCATGTTTCCTGTACCAGAAGCCTCAGTGCCAGCCAGAGAAATCTGCTGACTCAGGTCGGCGGCTGGAATAATTCTCTCAGCCATTGACACACGGTAGTTCTCCAGGTACACAATTTTCAGGCGATCTCCGATGATGGGGTCGTTGTTGACAACTCTGCCAACGTTGTTGATCAGCTTGATGATCATCTTGGCTAAATGGTACCCAGGTGCTGCCTTAAAGATAAGTTTACTCATTACATCAGGTCATAGGTCAATGTTTACATCAAATAACTTTTACATGTAAATGTTAAAATAATTCAGTTGACCCTTGAATTTAGATATGATTGGCAACACCAATAAATGTTTTTAATTAGTGTACTTTAAATTTATAATGGAATATTTATGGTTTTAAATGTTTGAACATGGCAATTGAAGTGGGCTCCTTAAGTTAATATTTAACAAAGCATATATTACGTAATTGGAAAGACATGTTTATCGAAATTTATTCAATTTGTTATTTCAAATAATGCAAAAGAAATGTTTATTGAAATTTAATTCAATTTCTGTTATTATTTCAACAAAAATAACTGAAAAAGAGTGAATAAAATACACATAGCACTCATTTATTTTTAGGTCAGGGTGACTTGTTCCCCAGGTAAATAAATAGTTATCCTTTAGGATCTGGTGATCCATGGGACTGATAAAGTAGAGTTCACCTGTTTCTGTGGCCTTGGTATATGAAGGTATAGCGTGGTCAACACTATGTCTAGCTGCCTTCACTTTCCCTAAATTAAGTCATGTATCCATCAGAGCTGGGTGGACTCAGAGACGTCATAGGGACTCAAGCCCAGGATCGTAACTCAAGATTTTCAGGTTAGCGGCAAGGTCGAGCGCTCTACCATCCAACAATGCTATCCAAACAGCCATGTACATATGCCAGGTATAGTTGCATGAGGTAATAGTATTTTATGCTGCACTACAAGTGTAGGTAGGCCTTACCTTTCCACCAATCATAATAGTTCTGGGTACAAAAGGAGCTTGAGGGTTCTTCTTGAGTCTGTTGTAGAGTACAATCATGTGCAGGCAGTTGAGCAACTGTCTCTTGTACTCGTGGATCCTCTTCACTTGCATGTCGTACATGGAGGCAGGGTTGATCTTGATGTGGTAATTTGTCTGAATAAACTGGGCTAATCTCATTTTGTTCTCCTGAATGACACAGAAAGTATTTTGTTTAGTTGAGCAATGGAGAAATATTTCTTTTCTATAGTCATGTTTTTATAAGGTAAAAAATAATTATATTATGCATTCATATGTTTTAAATATAATTTTTTGTCAAATTTTTTTTTTAATTCTAACATTAAAATTGGACAAAATACAAATGAAGGTAAAGTCATCTGAATGATAATCTCACATGCTTAACTTTTTTGTTGTAAATGTTCCACATGATAGCCTTTTTTACATTTAAATTTTTATAACAATAACTTACTCAACTTCAAACTTAGATCTTCATGGTAAAATAGTCTCAACCCTAGTGAGTGAAAGAATGGAATAAGAAATGACCACAACTTACTTGTTTAACTTTCATGAAGCTGCGCAAGAAGGCCTCTTCTTTACACGCAGGGGTCAGTTTTCGCAGCTCAGTCAAATTGGTCACCCAGCTCTCGCCGATTTTCTGTTCAATAAAAAGACCAACTTTAGACAGAAATTAAATACCTAGCACAAAATAATCAATGAAGAATTCAATGTTTCCAATATGATGGTTTGAAGAGTTGTTTTTTTTTACCTCAGCAATGACATCAGCCAATCCTGGGTTACACAATAAGAGCCATCGTCTTGGGGTGATGCCATTGGTTTTGTTTTGAAACTTCTTTGGGAACATCTCATAGAAATCTTTGAAACTGCATGGCAATACAATATGGAGTTATTCACATAGAAATAAATTATTTAATCATTTAAACAATTACATATGCAGTCATTCACACAGAATTACAGAAGATATTACAGTCATTCACACAGAAATATGTAAGATATTACACAACATGTATTTATTCATATAGAAAAACATTAGGATATTACTTAACATGTAGATATATTAAACTCTTGTTGTGCATAGAATATTGGCTAGCACCAAGTGAGCCAGCTGTTTTTTACACTTACATGTAACAAATGATCAGACTAACTAACAAAGTGTATCACACTCACGTTGTTTTCTTGAGAATATCAGAATGGATGGCAGCAACCCCATTCACTGCCTTGCTTCCTACAATACACACATTTGCCATATTAATTTTCTTCTCAGGTCCCTCCTCTACCAGAGACATACGAGCTAGACGATCATTGTCTCCTGGCCACTTCTTGGCAACCTCCTACAAACAAAATAATATCGTTAGTACACCATCTGCACTGGCAGTCAGTAAAATACAAAATAGTTAGGCCAATTCTCTTATGGTTCACAAAATAACATACTGTAATAATGAGAATAATAAACACTGTAAAAATGAGAAAAGAAAACACTGTAAAAATGAGAAAAGAAAACACTGTGAAAATGATAAAAGAAAACAAAAATGAGAAAAGAAAATAATGAAATACATTACCGCTAAAAAGCGTGAATTTATTTCAAATAGAATAGCTAGATGTCTAGGTAGAACATGTCCTAATAGTGATACGGGCCAACGTTCCAAAGCTTCAGGAAGAACTGTATGGTTGGTATACGCGCACGTCTTGTTTGTAAGTTCCCATGCCTGGATTTTAAAAAAAAACATCTTAAATTTTCCTAAAACATGCTAATGAAAAAATGAATTGTTAATAAGATATTTTTTCCACAGTCAAAGCTCATAAATATAGTGAAGCTTTTCACATCAGACTTGTGACCAAGGTAAGACCTCTCTAGGTGAATCACCAACTCACCTTCTCCCAGGGCAGATTCTCGATATCAATCAAAATGCGCATCAGCTCAGGGATGGCAAGTGATGGATGAGTGTCATTCAGCTGAATGGCTACCTGAGGACATAGCACATCATCTGGTCAAACTACCACGACATGTTTATATATTGTCACCTATAGGGTAAATTAGCTTGTATGGTAAATAGCCATATATTAATGAAAATAAACTTAGAAGTTTTAAACTCATATTTTGTGACACGGAAAGTGAAACAAAATATGGTTTATGAATCTGGAATTGCGGGACAACCCAGAAAAACTTCACCCCTAATATGGCAAATAACTTTATATTAGGCTTATATACAAAAATATGGTATATGACTTAAATGTCAAATAAACTTTAATAAGAGTTTTCTCTTTTCTTAAAACCAATTATTTACTGATTATCACCGACAAGTGATTAAGACGATTCCAGTCAAGCTTGCTAAATATCTACATACCCTTTAGGTATAATGTATAAAAAGTTGACACAAACATCAAAGCGTGGTAAAAGAAAACTTACTTTATCAGGGAAAGTGTCGAATGATGTTCTCACTGGGTTGGACTGGCCAAACGTGGCCGACTTAAAACGACGGATCAGATCTTGCAGGGACGCTGCCACTAAGAAATATTCTTGTTTTAGACGCAACTCTTTCCCCTCAAACATCTGGTTCAAGACAGACAAACATCAGGCTACCATCACAAAAATATGTTTACTGTCATTTCTTAGATATGTTATGGATTTTTGCCATACTTCAGTACTAATACACTTACACAGTGTAAAACTGGACTGAAGGGCACTATTAATAGGCTTTACTTATCACAATATGCTTTCTTTTAAAACTACGATTCTTAACTCAATATGGTAATATATAGCTTATGCCCATTATCACAAAAATATGTTTACTGTCATTTCTTAGATATGTTATGGATTTTTGCCATACTTCAGTACTAATACACTTACACACAGTGTAAAACTGGACTGAAGGGCACTATTAATAGGCTTTACTTATCACAATATGCTTTCTTTTAAAACTACAATTCTTAACTCAATATGGTAATATATAGCTTACGCCCATTATCACAAAAATATGTTTACTGTTATTTCTTAGATAAGTTATGGATTTTTGCCATACTTCAGTACCTATACACTTACACACAGGGCACCTATAATAGACTTTAGTTATCACAATATCCTATCTTTTAAAACTATACAATTCTCAACTTAGGGAACACAAATGTCCTACAGGTACCATGAAAATCTCTCCCAGCACTTACATTGTCATTAGGGTAAAGCACTCTGGAAATGTTTTCAGCATAGTTCCTCTCACACACAGCATTGATGTATTCACCGTTGTTGACTGGGGAGAACAATGATTTAACTCTTCAAGTCAGGAGTTAGAAGAACAATGATTTAACTCTTCAAGTCAGGAGTTAGAAGAACAATGATATAACTCTTCAAGTCAGGAGTTAGAAGAACAATGATTTAACTCTTCAAGTCAGGAGTTAGAAGAACAATGATTTAACTCTTCAAGTCAGGAGTTAGAAGAACAATGATTTAACTCTTCAAGTCAGGAGTTAGAAGAACAATGATATAACTCTTCAAGTCAAGGAGTTAGAAGAACAATGATTTAACTCTTCAAGTCAGGAGTTACAACATGTTGCCCAGCTACACACCTAAACATTCCCTACTTGATGCTACACTCCTCTGCCCATCCATTCCCATTAATATATCTCTACCTTTAATTCCATACAACATACCGATACCCTTTGTATTTATAACTTACACATACATATAATTTCCCCAACATTTCCCACACTACAACACTACCTCGTTATTCCCTACACCAAACAATATCCCTTTATCCCACATCAAAACTAACCCCTAATTCCCAAAACTAATCCCTATCCTACTATTTTTCATACTACACTCCAATTCCACCCAAATTTCCCCATCCTGAACACCCCCACCATAACTATAATAAGATGACTCAGGTGGGTTGAATCAATGGTCCAATGAGCTATTGTACAATGGAACTTACAGAAGTGTAGGTGGAAACTGTTTGGTGCCTTGCAAGACCAAAGGCGAAGTGTGTTCACTGTGTTGTTTCCATAGCCTGGGATGGGTGTGTCAAAAGGCATTGCAAAAAGCACCTGAAACAAAATGGCACTGTGTTCAAATTTCCATTCAGTCATATGTGGTGTTACCTACTCAGTTTTGTAACTAGCGATTACCATATGGTCTAATTGTAGTCACAATACAGAAATACCCTGATTTGTACATTTGTTAATAACATGTGGAAAATTATTTATTCAGCAGCGAATAATAATGAAAATACATAAAGTAAATTTACTTATAGCAGTAACTGACCACAAAATGATTTAACAAGTATTCATCTATGGTCAATCAACCAAAATTCAATATTTAATACATTCTCAGGCTCATTTGATTCTAGTAAAAATTTCCCATGGGATAGTTTCATAGGCATCAACTTTTAAGTACAAGGTCTATGATTCCTTTACTATTCTCTATTTCTATTTCCTATTACACGTTTCATTTAAAACATTTCTAGCTAGAAATAAATATTTAAATTATCAATACATGAAAATTTATAGTGTGCCAGATAAATCCAGCAATTAGGCAAAACATCACCATAACATAATTATGACAAAGTCAGGTTGTGGAAAGTGAAGCATAGTTAAGAAAGGTATTACTGTAAACTTAAAAGTTTGATTGGATTGGTTGAGATGTGCTCAGAAAGTTAAGATTTTTGTTGACAATGGCATTACATTATTTTATTACCCACTTATCCTAGCCATTATAAACTTATCTGAGTATCTGCTGATTAGTCCTTGCCACAAAAGACTTTCATGATATCCACCCACTTATTCTTGCTACCATTGATTCACCTGAGTATCCACCCACTTATCCTTGCTACTATAAACTCACTTCGATTATCCACCCTCTTATGCTTACATATCCACCCACTTATCCTTGCTATACTCACCTGAGTATCCACCCACTTATCCTTGCTAGACTCACCTGAGTATCCACCCACTTATCCTTGCCACTATAGACTCACCTGAGTATCCACCCACTTATCCTTTCCTCTACTATAGACTCACCTGAGTATCCACCCACTTATCCTTGCTAGACTCACCTGAGTATCCACCCACTTATCCTTGCTAGACTCACCTGAGTATCCACCCACTTATCCTTGCCATTGATGTTCTCAACACGACCAAAGAAGTTGACGGGAAGGCAGTACTCTGGTCTAGACTTCTCCCAAGGGTTGCCAAACCTCAGCCAGTCATCAGGCTCCTCAATCTGATGTATAAGACAAGAAATTTGATGATTGGTTTAAACCAGGGGTCTCCAAACTTTTCAGCCAGAGGGCCGCATTAACTATCAAATATCAGTTTGGGGGCCAGAGTTTCTTCAAGCCATCAGGTTCTGATTGAAAAATTTTCACAAAGGGAAAATAGAATTTTAAAAAAAAGGAAAATACACATCTCTGATTAAACGAGCTTTGATAGTTCAACAAATTATGTAAATAATTTAAATTTGTAGTCTGTTGTGACTATTAGAGTGACCTCCCCTGAGTGAAAATGGTATGTTCTATTCTTCTACCATCAAACTAAAAAAAAAGAAATCAATGCCTTGCTATTTGATTCTTTCCTTCCAGACAACCACATCATCATCTCAGTCATAATCTGTTACGTTTACGTCAACTCTACATATACACTGCTATGGCCAATTACTTACCTGCCAACCATTCTCAATCTTCTGGGCAAAGATACCATAATCATAACGAATGCCGTAACCATATGCAGCAAGGCCAAGAGTTGCCATGGAGTCAAGGAAGCAGGCAGCCAGACGTCCCAAACCACCATTTCCAAGACCAGCATCTTGTTCAATTTCTTCCAATTCTTCTATATCCAAGCCAAGCTAAAAGAAGATATCACATGACCAACTTAGCCAATCAATAACTAGATTGTAACAGCAAGACCTAAATAAAAATTGTAAAAATGTACAATACAGTTCATTCTTGAAAACTGCTAGTAAAAGTAAACTAGAATATGCTTAGGAAGAAAGTCAAAATATTTTTGTTTATTTTATTTAATAATTTTAATTTGATGCAACTAAATATTCATCATTGATTGTATCTAGCTTTAAAGTACTAGTATTTGTTCGTCACTGGCATGAAGCTAAAAGTACTTGTACTTGATTTAACTAAACATACCTGGTACATGGCTTCATCACAGGAGCTTTGAATGCCCAGGTTGACCATTGTGTTGGATAGAGTGCGGCCCATGTAAAACTCCAAAGAGAGGTAATAGACTCTCTAGAAAAAAAAGTTTAAATATCCCAATGATAAAAAGGTTTTTAAACTCAAAGTCTAGATAACTTTGAGCCAGCACAAAAAGTATTCTTAAATTGCCTGAAGTAAGCTGAAATATTAATAACCAAAGCTATATGAAATTAGAAATTTTAGTAGTGTTTTTTAAATTTATTAACTATTTCAGTACTAAGTGAAAAATCCATATATGGTTTCCTACATTCTTTCTAATGTATGTTTTCATAACTCAAAATTTTAAGGGAGTAAAATTGTTTTGGAATTTTTTTTTACAAGTTATGTCTTTCAAACTGCCATGAATCTTTTTGAAATTCATCACTCTATTACTTATAGTATTCAAACTAAACAAGTATTTGACCAGATGTAAAGTTTGATTATTTCATAGAACAGGAGTGAATTATTTTAAATAAAAGTAAGCACTTAAAACTAATTTGCATAATAGCCTAGAAAAAAACCCATCAGAAATATACTGTCTGTAAAGATTTAATTAACCAAAATGTAGGCCCAAGTGCATGGTAATATAATACCTGACAAGGTTAGGACTTGCCTACAAAATATGCATGGTATGAACAAGAAAATCCAGTGCATATTTTATCTCTGTGAAATATGGACAGCTGATAAGAAACAGTGCCACAAGCAAGAATATTCACTGACAGCCAGATAGATATACATTTCATTTTTTAGGAATTCACTTATTTTGTTAATTCAAAGTGTGTTTTAAAACATCATGGACTGTCTTTAAAAAAACTTCCCAACCCCTAATCCTAAAACTGAATTGGTTTGAATGATATTTATTATCTAAATGATTTTAAAAAAAGATATGAGTTGCACAATGACATTTAATTTTATTTTAATACTCTAAAAGGCCTACATGGAGACTTATTACAATGTTAATATCAATATTTTTTATTAAACTGGTGATATAAAAAACAGCTTGAAAGTACATAAACAACACCACTGATGTGTGCCAAAGAAAAGCACACTCTATTATGCATGTTTTTTACTTTTTGTCTCACTATTACAAGGCCTTTAACCTAGGTCTTTAAGAAACCCCAAAACTATCTCTCTATAGGCCTACATGAAGACTTTATTACAATGCATCCTTTAATATCAGTATTTCTATTAAACCTGTGATGTAGTGACATAGAAAACAGCATGAATGTACATTAAAAAATGCCACTGATGTGTGCCAAATAAAAGCACACTCCATTATGCGTGCTTCATACATTTTGTCTCACTATTACCTGGGTCATTAAGAAACACCAAAACTATCATTCACTTATCTTTTAAACCTTAACTCTGGCTAAAGCTGAAAAATTATAACAGGTATAAACTTAACTCCACAAACCAAGAGTTCTCAACTATTTCTATATCTGCATTAAATTCAAATACAACAAGTAACAATTACTTCAAATTTTTACTGAATAACCAATAATCAAGCAGGGTACCATTTATATATAGGGCCTATATTATAGTACGCTTTTCTTTAAATAAGACTTAAATAACGGATACTTATTATCTGTAAAACCTAGTATGTTTTTCTTTAAAGATGGCCCAAATAATGGGATACTTTTCTGGTTATCTGTGTAACATAATGCAGAGATGACTAGTGCAATTTCCTACTATGAATTTGGAATAGTATAAGCCTATTGTAAACTAGTTCCCGAGAAACTTTGATGTTAAAAGAACATATAGTATAATATAGTAGGTGCTATAGATATATTTCTATATTCTATTCACTATTGTAGCCTACTAATATGTGCCACTACAAGACTGTATTGATGTAATTCTAACAAAAACAATGTTACACGACATGTAACATTGCGTAAGAATGTTTGAAAGGTAAGTTAGAATAGTCTATAGGCATTTATGTTAAAAAAAATTATGACCCTATGAGCCTACAAAAAATAAGGAATGAAGTATAGATCTAGATCTAGTAGGCCCTATAAAAAGAGACCTATGCTAATACTCAGATACTGCTGATAAATAATAAATAATATTTCTAAAAACTATTCCTGAACTAGATATGTCTATACTTCCCAGCAATGGTTGCATATCTCTTATCTAGATTCAAGATCTACCTTTAATAACTTCAGTTATGACTGTTTATGTTATTAATGTTACATTCATTTAGATCTAGATCTAGATCTAAATTTAATTAATCAGCTTACTAAAAGGGCTGCTTTAAAATATCCAGCAGATCCACTAACTAACAAAATCAAATTGATAAACAAATCATGTCAAATGTTAAAATAATATTGATTTAGGCCTAGATCTAGATTCTAGATCTAAAACAATTTATGTGAAATTTAGGACTAGAAATCTATAGAATAGATTTTAGTTCAGATTTAGATTAGAGTTTAGATCCTGAGTGCCAGATTCTGGTCCAGATATGGCTGATATAGAATATAGATAGATCTAGAGGTAATCTATCGTTTTGGGTACGTAAAATCGCCCGCGGCTATTAATGTACGAAAATGTTACCTCATTATCAAGGCTGTAATAGAACTATATTGTGATATGTTTGTGTCAAATATTATAGATAAATGAATAATAAACCTAAATCAATGGCTAAATATATCAATATAGGCCAGAAATTAACTTTAAACAGCAGTGTCTGCAAGCAAGATTTGCTATATAAACAGCAGCCATTTGTAAAATAGAGTGACTTCCGCCTGAATCTCGCGCTAAGTCTATAAAAATAAAACTTTAACAAGATGGCTGCTATAGTAAATGAGCATGGTTGCATCTGTTGGAAACATCGCTGGTGTTCATTTATTAGTCAAAAGTTTTAATTCAATTGTTTAAATACAGGTACATAAATGAAACAAGGAAACATTTTTGTATTTTTCAAAACATAAATCCTCCTCAAAATGTGAAATAATCATTAAAATGTAAGGAGTCACCTGTTTTTCACATTACTAGTCGCGGGCGATTTTACGTACCCAAAACGATAGATTACCGATCTAGATCTATATCCAGATTCTAAACTGGCTAGAAAGAGGACTAAATTTATTTTTTTTAAATAATTTAAAAACTGAATGCAATGCAATTTTATTTGCTGATCTGCTATTTAAAAAAAAAAGGTGTAGGAGTAGGGCAGGGCCTAGAAAGTCTACTTCTTACTTGAGTACTTAGTCTAGACTTAAGTAACACTTACCTTTGGATCGATTTCATAGTAATACTGTTGTGTCCTAATCCATCGAGATACAAGATGATCTCGAACAGTGTATGCAAGAGAGAAATAATAATCTCTCGGTGTTGCAACATTTCTGTCTTTAACAAGTGTATAATGCAGATGCCGATTGAACGATTTTTTTATGGTTGCTACGTTTTCCACCGGTGCAATCCCTCTTATACTTATCTGCTTCCGTCTATCTGAATCATGTTGTTTAGATGTCATCTTGCTTTTCCCTAAATGCTCGAAATATAAGTTGTACAAATGGATTTCAGTCGATGCTTCCTATCGACTAGACTGTTATATTCACCTAATTTGCTTGAAATTGCAAGGCCACAGATCTTATTATAAGGGCCTCAACCGAATGTGAACTCACCTTGACCTTCAAGGTCGGTCAGCAAGTGTCATCCCGCATTGCCAGGGTGACGTTTTCTCCTGATAACTGAGTCAAGAAATCAATTCATTTTTCATGCACTGAACTGTTATAACAAAGCAATAACACGTTTTAAATAATTAATCACTGTTTATATTTTATCGCGATAATTTAACTCTTCCTGGCCCTTTGATTAGCTATCGCTGTACGTTTAGGCCAAATGTAGGCCTAACATTATTTTTTAAGTAAACTTCATGAACAGTGGGTAATAGTTAAAATAGCGAACCATACTTTAAAAATTCAAAGCTTAGAATACTTTTTTTTTCTTTAGAATTTAATTTTTAAAATTTGCCATAATACATCGAGGCTTTATGAATGTAGGCCTACTTTTTAGATGCCTATTTTTCTCATAATTTTAACATATTTCTGAACTATTGTCGAGTAAACGGATATTCCGTAAACACAGGGGGTGGGGTTCGGGATTTACCCCAGCCCCTGATTACGATTTTGATATTATAACAATACACTCTGTTTATTAGTAACCGCAGATTTATAATATTTTTAAAAACTTTTTTATATTTAATAAAAATTGTATTATTTTCTTCTTTTTAGTGCATTTATAAAAGCTTGTAACTATAAACGTTTTTATGTATTAATTATTTTATGAATTGCAAAATGCTGAGATTGACGAAATTAGTACTGCTGAGTAAAAAGAAGAGCCGCACATTTAACTGTTAAAATTATTTGTTATTATATTATTCCTGATCATGACAAATTGTTACTTGGTCCCACCCAGTGGAGTAGGCAGGGGGGTTAGGGGGGTCATAACCCCCCCCCCCCCATAGATCCCTCGGTATAGATATATAAAGTATGAGGGGGGGGTGCACATCGAAAGTTTGAGGGGGGGTGCAAATCGAAAGTTTGAGGGGGGGGGTGCAAATCGAAAGTTTGAGGGGGGGTGCAAATCGAAAGTTTGAGGGGGGGTGCAAATCGAAAGTTTGAGGGTGGGTGGGGGGGTGCAAATCGAAAGTTTGAGGGGGGGGGGTGCAAATCGAAAGTTTGTCCCCGGGTAAAAATTGGACCCCCCCCCCCCCTTGAGACAATCCTTGCTGGTCCCACCAGTTTCTATTGTCATGAGCAATCATTACACACACATACACAAACATGCATGTATATATATATATATATATATATATATATATATATATAATTTAGCTTATAAACACACACGCGTGAAGGTAGTTTGTTGTTTTTAATGATTACAGTAGGCCCTTTGATTGTTTGTACTGTTGCATGCATGCCTGGGAGGAAACAGGTTTATTAATTTGTGCTTTGTTAGCCAGATAAACGTTGAACTAGAGTTTACTAGACCAACGTTGTTGAAAACTGACAGCAGCTCCTTATATGGATGAAAATTCCTGCTAAAAAAACAACAGGGGCATTCAGAAGCAATTCATCCCGCTACTGCCAATCAGAAAACAAAGCATATTTGGGTGGCTTGTTGGGGGGGGGGGAGAATAACATGCAATTATTTACTGATGTATGGGGGGATTGTTTACTGGCATGTTGGAAAGGGGGGGGGGGGGGTTAACATGAAATATTCTTCTTCGTTCTTAATTCTAGTATTGGAGGTGATTTCCTCCAACACAATTAAGTATTACCTGTCAACTTGTTATGCGCATAACATGAAATGATTTACTGGAATGTTCAATAGGAGGGGGGGGGGTGGATTTACTGGCTTATCGGAGGGAATGGGAGGGGGGATTTATAGGCGGCATGTTGTATTAAAAGAGTGAGATTATACTGCATTTGTTTATAACACGGTAGGTGGACTTCCATTATTGATTTCTTGTGTTCGAGAGCCTATAGCTTGTTTTACATATACGTGTTACGGTATGTGGCGACAATACACAAGAGAGGCAGTACACTTCACTGTGTTGATATTTGGAGATGCAACTTATAACGGGAAAATAATTTAATTCATAAATAACTATTGAAACTGTAAGGAAAAAAGCAGAAGTAAAATAAGTGTCAATAAAAGTTATTGTCACGTTGAACAATTTTAAAAAAAAAATAAAGTATTTTAAAATATAGTTAACAGATGCAAGCTCTTGCATTATATCCGGTGGACGTTTTTGTTGTTGTTGCTTCTTTTTTGTTTTGTTTACGTTGGTTTGATTATTCGTTTTGGTGAAGACTTTATGTCGAAGTGGCATTTTGTGTATTTAATAATTATTTTTTTAATTTAATTTTTTTTAAATTTAAGATTTGCAATCGACCATAAAAAATGGTTACGTGTGTTTCTCATTATTTACATGCGATATATGTTCGTAGTGAGTAAGCAATGAAATTAAAGTTTCTATTTATAGCGTAGTGTGTTGTCTTAGTGTGTTGTTGTCTAGATGAAGCTTAAGATAAATTGTATCTGGCAACACGTCCTAATTTTTGTTTCCGCCGGTTCTAGCTGCTAATCCGTGTCAAGTGTGTAGTTAACAGAATAGAAACGGTGCTAGAATGGGCACATGCACACACAAGTCTAAAGTGCCTGTCATTTTGACGTCAGTATTTTTACACCAGGACTTTTGATTGTTATGCTTCTTCTTCTTCATCTTCGTTTTTTTTTTTATTTTAGTGTTGGAATGGATCCCCTCCAACACAATTAAGTATACGTGTCAAATGGTTATGTGCCATTGACTCCGTTTTCAGCCGGCTTTTCTTTTTGGATTTGCTTCCATAGCCTTTGCCCAACCAAGAACAAACTACAAGGCAGCAGTTGTTTATTTTTTATTTTGGAGTTCTCTAAAAGAAGAGAGGATGTCCCCAACTAACGAGCCTCATCTGCTTGAGGGTTTAGTAACCATGAGCTTCACCGACTCGACCACGACGACCCATATTTATTTTTCCTGTCATTGTAATGTCAGTATTTTTACACCAGGATTATTATACTTATTCACCCCTCTCACTCCACCCACCCTATCTCCTTGTTGTTTTTTAACCACACTGTTTGTCAATTAGTATTATAGCCTACTTATAGCTGAAAATTTCTTGGTAAATCTAAAGTGGCTAGGATTTTGGATTGACACGTTTTGAAATATCGTACACAAGCCGAAGTAAACAATAACTACGGATCTAATTGTCTAAACTTTAATCAACGTGGCGACTCAAAATTAAGCTGTGGATTACGCTTACTAAAACTGCATACTTTTAAAAAAAAATTGAGTTAGGTCCTATTTTATGGGTTAATTGTGAATAGTTTGATGATATTTTGAAGCTAATTTTCGAAAAAAAAAAACAACCTACTATCCCCGGATTGAAACCAAATGAACCATAGTGTTTTTGGCTTAATATTATATACTTTTGGCTTGCCGACCCCTACCAGAATCCTGGTAAAGTTGGAGGTTTAAGATACGATTAGGTCTACTTACTTAGGCCTATTTGTTTTTTACACTCATAAACAGGACATGCGTTTAAAAAAAAAATATAGTAGTATACTTAGTAGACCATGGGAATAGCTGTTAAAAGTCACTAGACAGTCACAGGCGTAGCGACGGGGGGCGGGGTACATATGTCCCCGGACACCGACCGTAGGGGCGCCAAAATAAGTTGGGAAAGAAAAAATTAAAGGCTCATTTAGCTGCAGTTTTGAATTGTAAATATTAAAAATATATGGGGGGGGGGGTGCAAATTGACAGTTTGTCCCCGGGCGCCGGGAGGGGTCGCTACGCCTCTATAGACAGTTCAGCATTACCTACGCTAAAAGAACGCAGTGTTTCATTCAGGCATCTCTCTCAAGAATCGGCCCGTAGCAAGTCCACCACCCCACCCCCTGGACCAAATGGAAAAAAATATATTGTTTGTATTAAAATTACATGCTTTTTAAAGTGACCGTCCCTAGGAAGTTTCAAGTGTCCACCACCTACCACCCAGAGAACAATATCTGAAAGAAACACTGAAAGCACTTCATTAGCAGGTAACCATTGTTGGTCACACAAGTAGCCTACTGGCAGAGACGTAGCGAGGGCGGGGCGGGGGGAGGGGGATGCGGGCCGCACCGGTTGACACCCGACCTAGCGACGCCACTGCCTATTGGTCGTGTTCAAACTTGAAATATTGCCGCAGTTGGTATGTACATTACATGACTCTCGCATAGGCATCAGCACAGCTGGTATAACATATAATTACCCTATCATTGGCGTAGCCAGGGGATGTTAAGGGGGGGGGGCGATATATAAGTGCATATGCGGAGGGGGGGGGGCTAATGTCATAAACTGAAAAACAAGAGAGAGCAATTAGTCTAGCCTATAATGTATAGGCCCTATAGCTTGAACTATAACCCTATTTACTTTTTTTCTAAAAAAAAGGATACGCCTTTTTCTATTTCGTCCGGGTGTGGGGGTGGACAGTGCCCCCCCCCCCCTCCTCCCCTGAAAGATACATGAAAGATACTCTGGATTTACTAATGGGACTAGCTAGACCGCCAATGTTAATTTTGCTGAATCATTGTGTAGCCTAAACACTGCAGTAAAAAAAAAAGCAAACCCTGGTATTTATTGGGTCCCATTCCCACGAAACCCGGATGTAAAAAAAAACCCACTTGTAAACAAAACTCCGCTTGCCTTACTACTTTACTAGTAATGTCACAAGGAGGCCCACTTTGTCACTACCGCTATACCTTCCGCTGATCCTTAAGACGGCATAAGAGTGAACGGGCTGTTTATTTTTATTTTTATTGTAACGTTATAGTCGTTTTTTTTAGAGGCAGCGTTTGGAGTACCACTATTTGCCTGATGCGTGGGTAGTGTTTCTTCAAGCTTTTTTTTCTCCGGGGGGGGGGGGGGGGGGGGGGAGGGGACTTCATATTTGACACCAAGGCAAAAAAATTGAGAATTTTTTAGAAGAAAAATGCTTCTTTGCCTGTCGCATTAATAATTTTAAGTACAAATTAAATTTAGTAATTTATATAGATATATACTTTGTTTCTGAGAGGGGGGGGGGGTGACACCACGAAGTGTCGCACCGGGTGAC